GGCCCAGGCTGTAGCTGAATGTACGTGTGCCTGGGAGCAAACAGTGAGTGGCCATGGTTTCTGAGTCAAGCTCCTGCTTTGAGCTCTGGTTTTGGTTTCCCTCAAGAGGGAAAGATGTAAAGTGTAGTAAGCTGAAAGAAATCCTTTTCTGTCCAAGTAGCTTTGGTCATGGTGTTTCTCACAGCAACAGGAACGCAAACCACACATCATGCAAGCCTGATGAACTGAGTCAGAACCCTGTATCCTACCACTGATGGAGAAAACGTGGTTCCTCAAAGTGTTCTCTGACCTCTGCTCATGTGTGCCCATGTGCACACTTCATACACACAATAATAATAACAAATAAAATAAGTACTTAAGAAAAGAGTGGCTATAACTGAGCAGTGGGATTATTGGTGATTTTGGCTTCCTCGGTTAGCACTTTCTGTTTTAAAGTCTGAGTCTTAAGGCCTGGAGAAGAAAAGACATTTTTCTGGCCTGCCACCTGGTGGTGAACAGCAGCAGAGTCCAAGGTAAATTAAATGCAGCCTCTGTTCTCTTCCTTTTGCTCTAGGCTTCTCTTTGCAAGCTTCTCTCATTTCTTAAGCCAGAGTTCCATACCTTTCCCATCTCGAGGTCCATTTTCATTTCCTTTTGTAACTATTGTATCATAGAATTCTTCTTGTAAGGGAAGTAATACATTAGATCTAGCTGCTTTCAAGTGGTTGCAGTTTTTTATCCATTTCCGTCCCTGACAACTGTCCTGATTGAGCTTAATTGCGATGTGCTTAAGAAGAAGAGAGTTTGGCTGGGCATTGGTGGTGCACGCCTTTAATCCCAGCACTCGGGAGGCAAAGGCAGGTGGATCTCTGTGAGTTCCGAGGCCAGCCTGGTCTCCAGAGCGAGTGCCAGGATAGGCCCCAAAGCTACACAGAGAAACCCTGTCTCGAAAAAGAAGAAGAAGAAGAAGAAGAAGAAGAAGAAGAAGAAGAAGAAGAAGAAGAAGAAGAAGAAGAAGAAGAAGAGAGTTTGTTCTCCAGAGCAACAGACAGCCCTTGTGGAAGGAGGTCTTTCGGGAAGGGTCAGGAGCCCCAGTCAGCTAGGCAAAGTGGCTGTGACCTGTAATCCTAGCACTCAAGAGGGTGAAGCAGGAGGATCACAAATTTGAGGCCAGCCTGGGCTACTCAGCATAGCCTCGGCTCTGTAATAAGACCTTGTGTCATCAGTGTATCAGTTACTTTTCTTGTTGCTGCAACAAAATACCCGATGAAATCAAGTTAAGGAGGGAAAGCTTTATTCAGGCTTTCAGCTCAAGGGTATAGACCATCATGCCAGGAAAAGCATGGCAGTAGGAACTGGAGGCCATTAATTAGTCATTCTTCATCCCCAGTCAGGAAGCAGCGCGATCAATGCTGCTGTTAGGTCAATTTCTCACTTCCTCCTTTTTATTCTGTCCAGGACTTTAACCTGAGGAACGCTGCTGCCCACAGTTACTGTGGGTCTCCTACCTCAATTAACCGAATCTAGAATTTCCCTCACAGATGGCTTGGAGGTATGTTCCAGGTGATTCTAGGTCCTCGAAAGATGACAATCAATAGTAACAGTCATGTGCTACAAGAAGGGACCTATTAACAAAGTCTCTATTCTTTGGGAGGACAAGCCGCCAGCTGCCATTGGCAGTCAATGTCCTTATTAGTGAGAGCTCTCCGGCAGTTATAGGAAAGGCAGATTTGAGAACACAGGTAGAAGCAGGACTAGTAACTACAAGGCTGCTGCAATGGTGGTCTGAGATGAGAGTATGTATGAGAGCCTGAGAGAAGACAGAGTTATCCAACAGCTGGAACACAACAGGGCTTCCTGAGAAGGAGGGAGTTCTTACAGGTGACCTCCAGTTTCCAACTGATTGGACTCGTGTACTGAGGAACCCTCAACTAGGTGGCAAGTATAAGATGGGGGTGAACACAGTGTAGAGAATTAAGTGTGGAATAGCTTGTAAGACAGCCTTAGTAAGGGCATGCAAAATGTGTTCAGCTGGCAGTTGAAAATAAGGCTGGAGTGGCTTCCACTGTAGGTAAAACCAGAAAACCAAATGGGATTACTTCAGTAGCAAGTGCAGAATAAAGAGGCATGAACTGGGCATGAGACTGAGTACATTAGTATTCAAGGGACAGTCCCTAAAAGAGAATTGCACAAAGGAGACAGAGAGAGGCTCGAGAAAGGAAACCTCAGAAGCAAGGCAAGCCTTCAATTCCAACACTCAGAAGGCTAAAGCAGGAGGATCACAACTTGAAGGCCAGCTCAGGATATACACTGAGATCCTATCAGCACAAGACATTCATTGCCTTGGGGGTTCCTCTCAACATTCCTATTGCTAATGTGACAAATTAGAAAGGAAAGCTCAGGGAGCTTAAAAAACAGGTCTCTCTAGAAAGAGAGAGAGAGAGAGAGAGAGAGAGAGAGAGAGAGAGAGAGAGAGAGAGAATGAGAGAGAGAGAGGAAGGGAGGGAGGAATGGAGGGAGAGAGACGGGGAGGGTAGGAGAGAAAGAGAGGAAAGAAAGAAAAAAGGGGGGCTGGGGAAAAGAAAAAAGAAAAGAAGAAACTTGAAGTGAGTTATCTCAGGTACAAGAGTCCAGATAGCAGAAGAGGATACATTACTTAGCCAGTTAGCGGTGGCACTAGGCACTGCACAAATTTAATCCCAGCACCTGGGAGGCAGAGGCAGGAGGATCTGTGAGTTTGAGACCAATCTGGTCTACAGAGTGAGTTCAAAAACAGCCAGGGTTACATAGTGACCCCATCTTTAACAAAAAAGGATTACTTAACCAGGCAATTAGGAAATCCCCAATAACTTCTGAGAAAGTAGTCTACACAGAGAGGCAGCAATGAAGCCAGAATCCAGGGCAGCAAGATGGTGCCCATGAATTGAGGTGCCAAATGTAGACTCTTCAAGTAACAGCTTGAAGATAAATAGATAACTTGTAGATATTAATAACTATCCACAAAGTATAAAAGTGAGAGAACAAAATGAGCCAACACAGGCAAGATGTTTAGCACAGCAGCTGGCATACATTAAACACCCAATAAACACAAATAACTAGTATCATGTATTCACCAGTGTACTATAATAAACTTATTCTGTACCTAGACTGCTCTGGGCCTCAGTCCTGACCGAAGCTGGTTAAATATCAATGGTGGGCAGAGACAATTAAAAAAGTTATTCAAATCATATGATGTATTTTCTAGCGGTAAATACTAAGAAGAACAAACAAGGCAGGGGGTTCCTTCTAGTTCTATTTTGTTGCTGATTAAATAACCCTGACAAAAAGCAACTTAGAGGAGAAAGGTTTATTTCAGTTTATAAATTCCAGATTACAGTCAGTCCATAACTGCACAGTAGTCAAGGAAGGAACTTCAAGCAGCTACCACCTCACACCCAGAATTAAAAGCAGAGAGAAATGAATGCATCGTGTTCACTTATCTGTTTATGCTCAGCTCAATTCTCACCTCTCACTCAGCTCAGGACCCCTACCCAGAAGGGAATGGTGCTACCCACAGTGGGCTGGGTCTTCCTATATTAATTAACTTATTTTTAAGACAATCTCTCCCAGACACACCCACTGCCAACCCAATGAAAACAGTCATTAAGACTCCCTTTAAAGGTGACTCTAGGTTGTCTTAACACCTAGGCTGACAATTAAAACTAACTGTAACAAAGTATCAAATGCTGAAGACAGGAATACAGTTGTAGGTAGGGAAGCCTGAGAAGGTAACCCAAAGGAAAAAAGTTAACTATAATTAGGAGGGAATAATTATTATCATTTGCACTGCTATTAGCTATTTCTAATATAGTATTATAGAGAAAGTGTATTGTTATCATATATCATTACTACTTTCTTGGCTACAATTAATGTTGTGATCATCACTGGCATCTCTGGCTGTGGAGTGATTTTAGCAGTGCCTGTAGTAGTCAAGGTTTATGGAATCTAGTACTAGGAAGGGAAGAAGCAACGTAACACATGGGAATTAATTATGTAATCAGAGTAGCAAACAAGAGACACCAGGCATTATGGCTCAGGTCTTAAACTCAGCACTCAAGAGCACTGAGGAGGCTAGCTTCAGATACAGAGAGGCTTTTTTTTTTGGGGGGGGGGGAAGGAGTGGAGAGGGGAGAGAGAATATAAATGAGAATGGATAGGATGCTTTGTGTTGACCTTTTGGCCCCAGCATGCATACATGGAATATCACACACCAAGATCATCTTCAGACCCAAAACTACTGAAACAGAGATCTGTGACAGGGGGAGAGTGGTAATCCCATCTCAGATGAGCGTATGTGTACAGTGTATGATGAAGAGATTACAAGACAGGGTTGCGTTTCTACAGGAACATTTATTTGGTGGTTAGAAACAGGAATTTATGAATTCCACAGGAAAATAATTAAGAGGAGCTGAAGTCTTTGCTATTTGCCAAGACAAGCATACTACTGGAGTGAGGTAGGTGTGAAATAGTACTTGTGGGATCACACTACACTAATGAGGGTTAAATCTTGCTCATGACTGTACTTATCTATTAAAACAAACAGAAAACCCTTAGAGTTTAAAATCTTACAGCTGGGGCTGGAGAGAAGGCTCAGCTCAGTGCTTAAGAGCACTGGCTGTTCTCCTAGAGGACCTGAGGTTTGATTCCCAGCACCCACATGAAGGCTCACAACCATTTGTAACTCCAGTCCCAGGGGATCTGAAAGCCTCTTCTGGCCTTGGAAGGCATCAGGCATGCATGTGGTACACAGACATACATGCAGGCAAAATATCCATTAATGGCATTTGTTAATGCCATTAATAGGCATTAACAAAACAAAACAAAAACAACCTTGGCTCAACTAGCAGTAATGAGAATATGAAAAGGTGTCCATCAATTTCCTGTAAATGTTGTTATAAGCGAGTAAAAAATGCATGCCCTCCCTGGCTATGAAACCAAATGGCCACATAAAAGCTATGAAGGAAAAAAATTAAACAGGCCAATTATGTTTTACAGCTTTTGTAAACAGCAATTGTATTTCTAGTTTTATTACACATACTTAAAGAAGGGTATATATTACATCCATTCACATCACATTCTTCCCTAGGGATACCCAAGACCCATATTTAATCTCATGCTACTCGAAGGCTAGAAAAACAAAATATGGGGCTGGCGATGTAGCTCAGTGGCACAGTACTTGCTTAGCATGTGCAAGGCTCCAAATTCATTTCCCAGGACACTTGAAAAAAGAAAACAAACAAACAAACAAACAAAAAATGGCTGTGTTCAGGATCATACAACATGCCAGGAATCCATTGTCCCGGTCGTTTGGCAAGTCTTCCATCAGAGGAACATGAAGAAGGGAAGTCAGAAGGAGATGAAAACACTGGCAGAGGAATAACTCACTCATCTGTCAGTAACTGAAAAAACACGATGTGAATTACCATGAACTTCGTTGCCTCCTTCTTCAAATATCCTTACGATTTCATGGTGTGGTCAAAGTCCTGAAGGATGTCTATACACTTTGTGAGTTGCTGGGCCAGGGTGCCCGTTAGGTCTTCAGAATCCTTCAGTCCTGACTGCAGGAGGAACCTGGTGCAAGCCACATGCTGACCTGCACAGGCCAGATGCAGGGCTAAAGGGAGACAAAAATGGTCTATGCTGAGAACATGTACTGCATTCAGAAAAGATATTGGATTATTCGGTTACACAGAGCTGATGTTTATTTAGTCAGGGTGTGAATGTGTGTGTATATGTGCATTTTGTCACAGTGCATGTGTCGAGGGAGATCAGAGGACAACGGGCAGGAGTTGGCTCTCTTTGACTATGTGGGCCTGGGGGATAAAACATGGATCACCAGGCTTGCCTACAAGTGCTCTCGCCCACAGAGCCATCTGGCCAGCTACCCACTGATACAGATTTTCCTCTTTCATAATCTACCCACGATAGGCTATAATGGATCACAATTTAAAACTGACTGGGTTGAAAATATTTCTAAAGAAAACAAACCTGCTAGGGGTAGTAGCACACACCTTTAATTCCAGCAAATGGGAGGCAAAGGGAAGAAGATCTTTGTGAGTTCAAGGATAACCTATTTTATGTATCAAGTTCCCAGACAGCCAGAGCTCATTGAGAGACCCTGTCTAAAAAAAGGGGGGGATGGTGATGGAGGAAAAAGAACAAATCAGAAAGGATGCAACAAGTTTTCCTACTTAACGGGGAACAGAGGAAACTGCTTCTCCCTAGGCTCACTCTCATGTGCTATTTAAACATGAATTTAATGGTACATAAAAATTTCTCGATGTTTTGCTGAAGTACCATGAGTTAGGATGCAGTGATAAAAATATGTTGACCAATCTTTCTACTCTACGAGTAGAAATAAGCACTAAAGGTCTAAGTGTGCTGTGAGTCCAAGTGTGTCCTGTTGCCTGGTCTTGAATCCCTGCTTAGACTAGCAGCAGCTATCCCTTGTGACCTGCAAGTGAGAACGAGTCATTTGTGAGGCTTTCAAGACTGAAGATCCCACTGAACCCTATGAGATGACCTCTGGCTCGAAGAATACTAACTGAATGGTTTATTCTAAAGTCAAGTCTAAAGGATCAGCTCTAGACAGCACTGGGGATGCAGCTTAATGGTAAATCATGTCTACCTGGGCCTTGGGCTTGGTCCCCAGCACACAAAGAAAAAGAAAAGCACTCTGAGACTATACCTCTGAACCTAAAATCTATAGAATAGCCCTTATAGAGTAGATAGAAAATGCTTTCACCTCACAGATATTGTAATAGCTTAAAATAGTAATAATAGGGGCTGTAGAGATGCCTGAGCAGTTAAGAACACTTGCTGCTTTTCCAGGGGACCAGAGTTCAGTTCCTAGCACCTATATCAAACAGTTTACAACCACTTGTAACTCCAGTACTAGCAGATCTGATGCCCTCTTTTGGTCCTCTGGGGCACCTGCATATAAGTGGTACACATTCATAGAAACACACACACACACACACACACACACACACACATACACACAAAAATAAATAGGTAAATCTGGGGGGAGAAAACCCACACACAAACCAATCAACCAACCATAGTAACCAGGGTGGTGGTTAGTATTTATCATCATAATCATGTTGTATAATCATAACCAGTTGTGATGGCCCACACCTTTAATTCCAGCATTCTACGAGCAGAGGCAGGTGGATCTCTGTGAGTTTGAGGTCAGCAAGGTTTACATATAAGGGGCTGAATGTAGGGCCGAATGGGCTCAGCACTGAGGTGCTCAACCTACATCAATGATTTCAACTAAAAAGTGCCTGAGTCATTTGCATTCCATACCTGATCGGTTTCTTTCATCTTTAGAGTTGATGTTGGCACCCAGGGATAACAGAGTTTGAACTGTGCTCGTCTGTCCTTCCTGAGTGTTGAAATAGATTCATTACCGCTGTGATGAGGACAAAAGCAAACCTTTAAAATCAATCTCTAATGTACAACAGAAACCCTTCCTGATGCAGCCAACTGCAAACACTGAACCTCCTGTCTTAAGGAAGATCTATATCATCCATGATTCTCAAGCGAATCGTTAAGTATTTGTAACATTCAGTTATCAGGATAGATAATATGATTAGGTCAGCAGTACAAAGCCTTGTGGTTTATATAGAACCCACATTGCAAAATTTCCCAAGCATATGAACTCTTTGTTAAAATCTTTAAGGCAGAGGGGAATTGTGAGATTGAGGCTCTCAGAAGAGACCCCTACTATAGCTAGCATCATTCACACAGTAATTTATACACACCTGCCAAGTCAGTCAACTCGTTACAAAGTGGTGAGGCTAAAATCAAGATTTCAGGTTCGGCCTTTCTATGGAGGAAATGTTTGTGGCCTGGGCCCTCAGTCCATTTGTGTACCTATCCCTGTGTTCACGGGAGGTATGGTGGGGATTGTTGGTCAGAAAACATGAAACTCTTGCTTCTAAAAAGCCAAATAAAGGCACGCAGCTTCTAAACAATGTATAATAAGCAAAGCTCCTAAAATAGCCTTTTCTTTGGTGAAATATTTATGCACATCCTGAAAGTTTTATACATTGGAGAGACCAGAAGATGGAATTTCTTTGTGCTAGTTTAAGAGGTTTTAAATGCTCAATACAATATAAGAAAGAGCTACAAATTTCATATAATGAATCTTTGCTCATTTGCTGGAGTTACAGAAAGTTGTGAGCTGCCTTATGTGGGTTCTGGGAACTCTGCAACAGCAGCAAGCACACATAACTAATTTTAGTATACTAAATGGAGTTCTACAGATCGCTTTCAAACACTTAAAGAGACAACCGAAAAGGCCTCCATCACTCTTCAACATCTTCATGGTTTTAAAAAACATTCCTGAAAATAAGAGTGGGAAGGAGTACATAAAGCCAAAGTATTATGTAGGATTAAAAATTCTCTCAGCTGGGCAGTGGTGATGAATGCCTTTAATTCCAGCACTCGAGAGGCAGAGGCAAGTGGAACTCTGTGAATTCAAGGCCAGCCTGGTCTACTGAGTAAGTTCCAGGACAGCCTTCAAAGCTACAGAGAAATCCTGTTTTTAAAAACAAAACAAAACAAACAAAAAAAAAAAAAGAAAAAGAATTCTCCTCTCTCCATTTTTGCCTAGAAACAAAAATGTCATGTTTCTATTTAAAGAGAATCAGAAATACAAACATCTCAGGAATATAGAAAACAGATGGAGTCAAAGATGCCAAGACTACAGAGCTGTCCATCACTGGAGCAAAGCAAGCCTAAAGAAAGAAATGCTGTCATGAGAAGCAACTGACCTTGGCTGCATAATGAAGAGCTGTGAGCTGCGTTGTCTTTGCTCTCACATCTATATCAACGCCAAGACAGGACACCAGGAATCGTATGGCTTCATTCTGCCCAGTGACTGCTGCCCGGTGGAGGGCCTGGGCCCCCAGGCTATCTTCAGCTGAAGAGCAAGCCTAGTAGGCAGAAAAGAGGAGCACCGTGAAAAGCAGAGGAATCTAGGTCCATAGTCCTGCAGATGTTTTGGTGTAGCTTAACTGTCTGTGCAGTTCTGGGCAGAGCACATAATTTCTTCCTGATTCTCAAAGCACTTGAACTAAAATGTGGTCAAGACAACACTCTGGCTATAGTGCCTTAAGCTCTGGTAGCACAATTTCTTGCTATTACTATCAAAGTGACTATTTACTGAATCCTTAATTTTCTAGATGTTCTATGTATGTTGGATTATTGGATCCTCCCTGGATCAAATCCAAGGTTCTGAGAATGCTACACTAGCACTTTACTTTGAGCTCCAACCCTAGCATCATTAAGTCCTGGTAGGGACCTTCTGAAGAAATCACATTTTGTCACAGTTTTAGAGATGAGAACACTTATGTATGTGTGTTTACAGAGGTCAAAGGTGGAGAAACTCAGAGGAGCCAGGATTTGAAGCCAGCAACTTAATAATGATGTACTGTTTATCCTCAGATCGAACATTTCTAAGGAAGAACTAAAGGAATAAGCAAAAACACTGTATACCTTGTGTTTTTCAAGGAGCAGCTTGGCTATGTCAACATGGCCACACTGAATTGCATCCATGAAGGGTGTGACTCCACAGTTATCTTTGCAGTCTGGTTCATAGTGACACCTAGAGTCAAATCCAAAAATGACAAAATGTGACTATTCACCATTTTAAACCCAAGACAGGAGACATGATGGCCTGCAGGCAGGCTGCATGCCTTAGATGATCTGTGACCATCTGGAGCTGTCTTTCCTTTTACCACATTAGCATCTGAGCCAAGTTCCACGTCTTTAGAACCTTCCTCGTTTAATGTTCCCTATCAGCTCAGCAGGAGCCTTCATTTCTTCAGCTTTTCAGCTTTGTGGGTGACCACAAAGCTCACCCTTACCATCTTTCTCCTTTCTCTCCCAAGCAATTACCTAAATATAATACTGCAGCTAGGCTACTTAAAACATCTCGATCCTCTATCTCTGCTTTCACCCTTATCCACAGGTCAACTGACAACAGCTTCCTACTGCTCCTCTTATCACGACCCTTTCCCTGCCCCCATTCTCCAGAACAACCAGTCATCTTGCAGTGCAAGGTGGCTGGCCTGGAACTCATGCTTCTCCTGCCTCAGTCTTCGGAGGGGTGCAATTACAGATGTGTGCCACTGCATGTAGTAATTCTTGGGCTTCATGGAATTAGTAATACGCACTGTCTTTTTCATTAGCCTATGAAGGTCCCTAGAGAAGAGCTATGTTTGGTATTTTATTACCCAGACCTAACACACAAAGGTGACTGAAAAGTATTTCCTCAGTTAAGGGTATTTACAAAATTGAAGAAAAGCAAATGTGTCCCATCTGTGGTTCTAAATGCTTGACACGTTTTTGGAACCCAGGGCTCAACGCCCTTTGCTTTTACCCATTATCTTTTCCACTTCTAACTTCCCATCACCATTCCTATGTTGCAAATTTGTATCCAGACCATCTTGTCTCTGCCTACTTGAACTCTGCTTTGATCTCTCACACAGACACAACTACTCCACTTGTTCCAAAGTGAAATTTCACCCCCCCCCTTCCCGAGACAGGGTTTCTCTGTAGCTTTAGAGGCTGTCCTGGAACTAGCTCTTGTAGACCAGGCTGGTCTCGAACTCAGAGATCCGCCTGCCTCTGCCTCCCGAGCGCTGGGATTAAAGGCGTGCGCCACCAATGCCGGGCGACAAAGTGAAATTCTTATGCTTCCCCCAACCCTGCTCCTCTTCCAGTGTTCAGTGTCTCAGCAAGTGGCCCAGGTTCCACACTGTAAAAGTCATCCCTTGCTCCTCCTTTATTTTCTATGGTGCTGGAGATGAAACTTGACCAAGGCCTTGACTGTGCTAGGCTAACATTCTACCACTGAGCTACATCCCCAGGCCCTCTCAGATCCTTTTCATCAAATTATCTGCCTCTTTCTACTGATTCCACTTTTTAAAGATGGCCTTCAATCCACTTCTTCACTGTTCTATTGCTATAAAGACAGCTCTTTATGAAAGAAAGCATTTAATGAGGGCCTGCTTACAGTTCCATAGGTTTAGTCCATTGTCATCACGACAGGGAGCATGGTGACATACAGGCAGACACTGGAACTGTAGTTGAGAGTTACATCCTGATCCCTAGGCAGAGACAGCTTAGTCCTGACAAAGGCTTTTGAAACCTTAAAGTCCACCCCCAGGGACACACTTCCTTCAACAAGGCCACACCCCCCCAATCCCTCTAAACCACACTCCCTGGTGACTGGTTATTCAAACAGATGGGGGTATTCTTATTCAAACCACCACGCTTTCCATGCTCATCTCTTCAGCCCAGCCACCATCATTTCATTTCTCTCCTGTTTGACTTTATCAACCCGAGACAATTTCACAGGCCGTTCTTATCCCAGGTTCATTTATATTTTGTAACCAGGTGATGCTTAAAAACTGATAATTTCTTATGACCATTGGCTTAAAACCCTTCAACAAGGGGCCTGGGGAGGTAGTTCAGCAGTGGTGAGTATTTATTGCTTTTCCAGAGGACCTGGGTTTGATTCTCTCCAACACCCTCTTCTGGCAGCCACAGGCACCAGGCATGCATATGGTGTACAGACATGCATGCAAGCAAAACATTCAAATACATACAATGAATGTAATGGTCGACAGCATCCATATTCTTTACTGTTTAGACTTCAGCATATCCCAAACGACTTCCAGTCACTCAAATGTGCTACCCTTTTTCTTGGTGCAAAAAGCTCTCTTGCCCCTCACTCACAGCTGTTATTTTCCCCTCAGGGGAACAGCCTCGGTTGTACCGGTGCTGAGGTATTTATTTCTTCAGTCTTCACTCATTTACACTGGGTCTTCCTCTTACACACACCTTTGGGGATCCTGAATTCCTTGCCATGCTGATTGGTTTGTGGCCCTGTTCAGTTTGTAGACACTGAGCTCTCTACATAAAAGGAAAAACAAAAAACAAAAAACCTAACTCCTTGTTATAACTTAGAAATACTTTCCACCAATTTACCATGTTGTTCTTACCTATCAAGAAGCTCCTGTACTGCTTCAAAACAGCCATGCATTGCTGGGGGAAAAAGAATGGAGACAATTAGAACTTTTTAGTGTAGACTTGAAACTTTCTTGGCTGCTGTGGTAGTTTTAGAGAAAACGTTGGCCAGGCAGTGGTGGTGCACACCTTTAAACTCAGCACTCGGGAGGCAGAGGCAGTGGATCTCTGTGAGTTTGAGGCCAGCCTGGTCTACAAAGCAAGTTCCAGGACAGGCTCCAAAGCTACACAGAGAAACCCTGTCTTGAAAAACCAAAAAGAAAGAAAAAAACAAAAAGAAAAGTTGCTGTTGCCTTGATCATGGTGACTCTTTACAGCAATAGAAACCCTAACTAAGACAGCTAAGAAGGTAACTCATTGACCAAACACTGGCTCAGGCTGTGCAAAACCCTAGGTTTTATCCTAATACAATGAATAAATAATTAAAAACAAGCAAAATTCTTTCTCCTGGCTCTAAAAAAATTTTGCTTTAGATTTATTTATTCTATTTTCTGTGTTTAACTGTTTTCTTTGCATGTTTGTATGGGTACTACACATATGGATTATGCCCACAGATGTTAAAAGAGGGTGATGGATCCCTTGAAAATTGGGATTGCGAGTTAGAGATGGTTGTGAGTCACCACGTGGTTGCTGGGAACTGAACCCAGGTTCTTTGGAAGAGCAATAAGTGTTCTTAACTGTTGAGCCATTTCTTCATCTTCCTTGGTCTTCTCCCAGAAGAAAAACCTAAAATAGGTAGTGTTACTGTCTTATGAAAAAAATATTCCAACCAAATAAATGGTAAGGAATGTTTTCACTTTATACAATTGATTATTTCATCTGTACGAGCATTTTCATGGCAAACTTCCAATTTTAAACTTATGTCCCCATTTTAGTGCTGTAAGTTTCAAAGGCTTTTCTCACCAGAAAAGAGCAAAAAATGTTTTGAAGGTACCTATTTAGTAGTAATCTATGAAAATTATCTAAAACTTACTTCTCCTACTGAGGATACCTATGCTTAACAGAAAAGATTCTAACTATCTGGCCTCCATTTATTTTGGGCGAGTGACAGATTTGTGACTGGTTCTCCAAGGGAATATTATTTTCGGGAGTTCATATGATGGGTGCTAGCTAAGTATTTTATGAACTGGGTAGATTTTTCCTACTTACTCAAAAAGTTTCAGAAAGTATTCCTTGGTCCGTAAGTGCCAGCTATGGCTGGAGAACAATTGGCTGCTTGTTCTCAGTCAGTATGAACTATATCACATCTCAGGCATTGATCTTTAGAGACAGTATGAGCTCAGTATCCTAATTCAATGAACTGACTCTTAGAATAAGAATTATTTTCCAAAGTTCTCTCTTTGAGGGGAGAGGTATTGGGGGATTTGAGACAGGTTCTTCTAACATTGCCTGGCCGGCTTTAAACTTGCAGGGATCCTGCTACCTCAACCGCTGAAGTGCTAGAACGAGAGATACACACCATGCTGCCTGGTTTACTTTCCAACTTTCTTGTTTTGGACTTTTGAGCCCATTATGCACACATTCCACACTAATTTTGCTTTTGCCAAAACACTACAGTATGGTATCATCACCATTGTGAAAATCTAAGAAGGACCTTTGCTCAAACATAGACCGAGCTCTTTACTCAGGATCACAGACTTTGGAAAGGACAGAGCCAGCTTACCATCTCACTGACCAGGAAGGGTAAGACAGATACACATGAAAATGGACTAACACAGTGACACAAGAGCCAAGGGTTCCATCACTTTACAAACTTATAGTCTGCCAAGAAATCCCAAGATGCTCTGATGCTGTGCCTTCTGGTTTCCCAAATCCTTCATTCCCTTTGCAGATGACTTGAACTACCAAGTGTAGGCAGTGCTGGGGTGAAGCTAACTGCAGACAGCAGTGATTGCAGGGTATACCTGCAGTATGTAAAGGAGTTCTTCTAATGTTGCTCTCTGTTTTCCAAGCATCTGGGCAGACAGTGAGCAAGTACCGGAGGATCACAGGGTCGCCTTCTCGACTGGCAATGTGGAAGCTGTTCCAGCCATCCTTGTTCTTTAGGAGTGGATTGGCACCATGTTCCACAAGGTCCTGGATCACTTCAAGGTTCTTCCTTGTACAAGCCATCATCAGAGGAGTCCTAAGGTCAACCAGGATGGAAAGGAGTTGAGGCATTTGGAAGAACGTATGTCTTCCAGGCTTTCAGGGAATGTATGTCTTTGGTACAGACAAAACACCTAGAGGAGTCTGGGGGTGGAGTGTGGTGGGGGCAGGCAGGAAAAAAAGCTCAAACTGTCAGCCTCTGACTTCTCTGAGGACTGTGGAGAAATAACAAGGGAAACTGATTCTGAATGTGCATCCACAGGAGTAGGTTATCTGAGAGGCAAAAACTATTTATGAGCCAAGCAGAGGACTGATTAAAAACCACAGATAAGGCTCAAGATACAGTGGAACTACTTTGCAATAGTGAGGGAGATGTACTTTTAATTATATGGTGCTTCCCTGTCCTTGATGTGCTGAGATATATTTCCTAACCCCTTTGTTTTGACAGATTTGAAATAACTTGGAAGGCAGGAACTTCATTAAGTTAGGAGCCTAAAAAAGTTAACAGGCTTCCAGGAACCAGACATAGCACATACACAAAAAAAATGTCATTTTAGCAACAAATGAAATTGATTTGTGTGGTGGAAGAGCATCACCAACATTCTTGCTGGTGGCTCTGCAACGCTAGATGTGACAAAACTGCATAGAGCTCAATATTCAATGTATGTGCAACTGAAACCTATCCACTGCAGCCATGTCAATTAAAATAATGCAATCATGAACAAGTAATTTAACAAGATGTCTCCAGAAGAACACATTCTGGGCACATGAACAGTACAATTCACCTTCTAACCATTTGATTACATTTCTATACTCTGTCAACGGGAAACAACTATCCTAACTAAAGAGCCAAACCCACGAAGAACGGAAGGTTGGGCTGAGAATTAAAAGCTGAGGAAAGCTATACGTCTAACGGACACACTGAAAAATGCAAGAACATTTGCGATTCCTCGGAGAGTGGCGATGTAACTTTTCTGGACATTGGACACCTACCAGTCAGCTTTCTTCAAGGAGTCCACGACTGCACCTCGGTCCAGGAGGTAGCGCACGCAGTCCCGGTGGCCCATAGAGGCAGCTTCGTGAAGAGGCCGCTTGTAGTCTCGGTTGGCAGCCTCGATGTCCATACTCCAAGTCTCCACTAGATAAGCTAGGATGTCTTGCCGCCCGTGCCGGGCTGCACAGTGGACAAGGGTGTCCCCTGCTGGCCCCTGGCAACCTCGGGCCGCCTCCGGCCCCTGACAACCTCCGGCTCCCTCCAGTTCCTCCTGCAGGGCGCGCAGCCGGCCCTCCTGCACCAGCCTGCAGAGGCGTCGCGGATCCCCAGGCGGAGCCATCACCTTAGACCAAGAGCGACAAAAGTAGGAGGAAGACGGAGATCGAGTCCTAAACACAAACCAGTGCAGCAATAGGTGGGGAGAAGATGATGGGTAGGACTTCCGGTTCCTCCACGTGACCGCTCTCCCAGACGCTCCGCCCCTCAGCGGGATTCGGTCTGTCAGCGTCTTTCTTATGCCACCAGCACTGATTTGGAAGTCACAATTCCCCACGTAGAATGGTGTCTCCTCAGGCGATCGGGTCGACAACAAGCACGCTCATGGGCCATTCATTCTGTTAACTTTGCTCCAAACATGCGGAGTCGTCAGGGTGGGACCTTGGGTTCCCGGAGCCGGTGCAGCTTGGGTTAAGGTTATGCACCTGACATCCTGGAGCTGTTCCTTGCACCCGAGTGATCTGGGGACGAAGTACCTAACGGAATGTAGTGCGCCGCTGTACCGCCAAGTCCTGAAATGGAACAGAGGGGCTTTGCAGCCTGATCTCGCACCGTGCGACTCTCCACTGTACAGTCTATGGGCATGTCTACCACAGCCGGGGTCTCGGGCTGCTCCGGTGGTTGCTACAGAGGCGGAGGGGCGGGAGTGCGAAGCATGGCTGGCTCTCTACAGCCGAATGCACGCTGCCAACCACCCTGGAGCCTACCCGGCTCACGTGTGCTGTGGGGATGTCTGCCGGGCTGCCCAGTCGGGGTCTCGGGCGGCCCAGGCTCCCAACAGCAGGGTTTCTGGGGCCTCTCGGAGGTGGGACAGTGTCCCTGTCTCCGCCCTCTCCTCATCCAATCCGCAGCCGACCCCAGCCCCCTCCCCGCCCGCTGCTGCCGCCTCAACCCCCACGGGAACCCAGAGAGCTCGAAGGAACTCTGGGAAAGTTTCCTTCGCCTCCTCCGCGCCAGCGGAAGGACCAACGGGGCGTGGCTCAGTTCCTTGAACCACGCCCCCTCCCGCCTCGCGTACCGATTGGCTCTAGAGGCCGTCTGTCTGCGCGCCCCTCCAGTTCCGAGTTTCGACTGGTTCATGGGTCCGTCCGTCGTCTCCGGCGGAGGGTGCATCTTGGCTGCGAGGAGGCGGAGCTCGCGGAGGAAGTCTACAGTCGTCTCTGCTCGCTGTCTGGGCCAAAGGAGGGGCTTGCTGGTCGAGAGAAGGCTGGATGTCCAGCGGCACCGGCCGGGTGGGGGCGGCGGCTGGGTCCTGGGCCGGGCCACCATAGTGCGTGAGACCGTGGACTTGGCGTGGGGTGCGAGCCGGGCAAACTTTATCTTGTGGGGCCCAGCGCAGGGGTCTCGGCCTCGGGGGTGGGGCCCGAGCACAGGGTGGATGTAGGAGCTGGCCGCGCCCGCAATGGTCAGGTGGGGGAGGCCGGGGGATCTCTGCAGACCGGTGTCCCTACGCCGCTCCCTGAGGTTCCGGAAGGGGCAACACTCGAGAAGTAGCCTCTGCTGCTGGCAAGCCTGACTTGTCTACACTGTAATGTTTTTGACCTTGGGCGAGTCATTGTATTCTGCTCCCGACATTTGTGTTTGCCTTGGTAGTCTTCCACCCCCTCGCCTGAACTGGTGATTCAGGGGACATAAGGCGGCCTGGGGGCTTTTGGAAGGCTCATTGAGATCCGAGCAAGCTTTGTTAATTCCTTTCGAGGACCTGGATATTTAACCATTGATATGTTTGTTTGTTTGGGGGGTAAAAATGGAAGTCGCTACTTGTCAGGCTTAAAAAACAGTTTCTCTGCATTTGGCCCTGCACTCTGGCTCACAAAGTGCCTGTCATTGTCTATTCCATAAACAGCCCATAGGTAGCATTCTGGTTTTAGAGGCAAGGACATTGAGGCCTAATGAAGTTAGTGATTTTTACCACGTGTTGGTAAGTTGAGGCATCTGGTAGTTTCAAACTTTTTGCCATTTTGCATGGTTTTAAGTCTCAACATTTGGGAGACTAAAATAGGAGGACCTGGAGTTCGAGGCTAGTCTGGGCTACCTACTCCTTCCTTACAAATGGTGATGGATTTTTGCTTTATATCTCTAGTTTCCCATTATTTAAACAAAACTGAGACCCGTGGTTCACAAGAAGATGAAATATTTGAAGTCCAGGATAATTGGTTATTTAATTGGTGTTCTAAGTAAGCTTCTGCCTCTCCTCTGCTTCATGAATTTACTTTGTTGTCTGTTTTCCTTTGGGAAACTAGATATTGTTTGTGAATCTGTCCCACAGCCCTTGTGATTTGGAGAGTAGTGGGTACTTGTGCTTGAAGCTTAGTAATAGGGCTATTGCTGTTCTGTCTGTTTGGTCGAGCTGACCATTTCTTTAGTGAAGGTTTTTGGAGTTTATGGCCTGACCTTTACTGTCTAAATTTCCATGTAGCTGTCATTGGAATTGGGATTTTCTACCTGACTTTTGCTGTATCTCGTGGATCTGTGGCATTTGGGTGTCTTCATTGAAGAACCCATTCTTTAACATGTTTCCTGACTTGTGAATACGTAAAACTATTTAGATTCTAATTTCAAATGTGTTACTATGTCTTTTTCTTCTTCTTCTATTTTTCTACCCCTTCCAGGCTGACTTTAGTTTAGAGACAAATTTAGATTCTGTCTTTGCTGTTCTGGCTGTGAAATAACTTCTAGAAATTTATCACCAGAGCCAACTCTCATGTTGTCAGTGGTCAGTCACATGCTTTTAGAAGGCGCTCTTACATTTCATAGACCTTTTCTGGAGCTTAACCAGGTATTCCTGTAAAAAACAAAACAAAACAAAAACAGAACCTTTAAAAACAAAATAATATGGACATGGTGGCACACACTTGTTATCCCAGCACTTAGCTGGACTTGTTCTAAGACCCTACTGCAGCAGAGCAAAACAAACCAACAACAAACAAAACAAAACAAAAAACAGCAGAAGAAATCCTGGGTTTTTAAATTTTTATTTATTATTTGTTGTTGTTTGAGACAGGGTTTCTCTGTGTAATGGCTCTAGCTGTCCTGGAACTTGCTCTGTAGATTAGGCTGACCTTGAACCCACAGAGATCCTCCTGCCTCTGCCTCCAGAGTGCTGGGATTAAAGGCGTGTGCCACCATGCCTAGTGAAAAATTATTTTTATAAATTAAAACTTTAGGTCTTTCTCTCACTCTGGGAAAAACTATTAAAATAGCTATTTCTCCTTTGCTTTTTTACATAGCTAATGATGCCATTTCTCTTACTGTTGCATAAGAAACTTCAGTTATCCTTGATTTATATCTTAACTCTTAACACCTTGTTGATACCCACCTGCCCTTTCTACCCAACTTGTACTCTCAGGCCCTGTCCAGTTCCTGTTTAACTTGGTACCATGACTTTCTGATTTGTTTTGCTGACTATCTTCATGTCTATCTAAACTTGATTGTGTAATGACTTTGCTTTTAAAAACTGCACAAAACTCTGAATTGTCTATGCAATAAAGGGAAATTTCTTCAGCAGTATATAAGAGGACCTTTGTAGTCTCTGGCCCCAAGTTTATTTTCCAGCCTTGTTACCTATCATTCCCTATTAGAAATGAAACTTTTTTGTCACAGAGGGCTTTGCTATGCCTTTGTTTGTTTTTTTGTTTGTTTGTTTTTCTTCAGATTGTTTTCTTATGCCTAACTGATTTCCATTCATCATTTACAACTCAACTCTTCATGGAGCTTCTTCCAATGATCCTAATTATATTTACTACCATAGGCCCTTATGCATGTATTTATGTAGCGCTTGGATTGCTGTATGTTTAGCAATTTGTGTTTGTTTTGTTAGCTGCCTTATGGTCAGACTTACTTATTTTTGTATGCTCTCCAATGTCTAAAATAGCATTAGCAACAAGGATACCATAAGGAATGCTCTCATGAAGTTCATAGTAAATCTGGGATGCAGTAGATACATGAATAGATGGAGGAATGAATGAATAATAGGAAAAAATTTCAAGTATATAAAGATGTATTGTGGACAAAAAATATGTTTGTTTTCTATCATTCTTTCTGAGGAACATAGAATGAACAGCTCAGCCCTTCCTTTCTTGCTATAATAAATGGGTGCTTTTCTTAAGGAAGCCATAGGTACTTCAGGGTATGAGGTGACTGCAGAAGATTGAGGCTGCTGAGCTGGGAAGATGGCTTAATTGGTAAAGTGTTTGCCAGTCAAGCATGAGGACCTGAGTTGGATCCTTAGCACCATATAAAAAGCTGTGCGTTACCATGCATGCCTTGTAATCTCAGCACTGGGGAGACAAGACAGGTAGCACAGACGGGTTTGCTAGCCAGTCAGTCTCACTGTATTAGGTGAGCCCTGGGTCCCAACTAGAGACCTGTCTGTTAAAAACAGGATAGATGCTGAGGAATGACACGCTAGGTTGGTTGACCTGGCCTCCTGATGCATATATACCAGCATCATTTCCCCTTATACTCCCTGTAACAAAGATTGGGCCAACTGACGTGGATCTTTGGCTGGTAGATCCTGGCTTTACAGAAGACTGAATGCCAGAGAGGGGAATGAGAACTGAGTGTAATCTCTTCCTGTGCTTGGTGTTTTTTTTTTTTTTTTTTGCTTTGTTTTTGTTTGTTTCAGAGTTAAAAGGGGACAAAATATTTGTAAGTTTTTTTTTTCCCATTTTGAGTCTATACTATTGGCTGTATAGTGACATTTCTGTTACAGTTAATGTTTTCAGTATATTTGTTACCAACTATCTTTGGTTGTGATACATAGCAGTGTTCTCTCCAGTTAGGAACCTTGTACTAGGATCTTCTTCTTCAGTAATCAGCCTCTCCAGGAAGTCTAAGAAGTTAACTATCTTCATCATCTTGTTCATTTAGGTCTATAATCTGTAAGTTCCAGAGGGCTTTTAAAGTATGAGTAATAAAGATAATGGGATTATTTGGTGTCAATTTTAAGTAATCCTGGAATTATTAGCATAAAGTTGGTTGCAATAGCAAATAGCTCCAAACATGAAGTGACCTGATAGTAAACTTTATTTTTTTTTTAAAGAATTTATTTATTTATTGTGTATACAGCATTCTGCTCCCATATATATCTGCACACCAGAAGAGGGCACCAGGTCTCATAATGGATGGTTGTGAGCCACCATGTGGTTGCTGGGAATTGAACTCAGGACCTCTGGAAGAGCAGTCAGTGCTCTTAACCTCTGAGCCATCTCTCCAGCCCTGTAAACTTTATTTTTAAATCATATAACAATCTAAAATGGTTCCAGGTGGTGGTAGCTCATGGGTGTTTTTGTATGTATGTGTGTTTGGTGGAGGAGGTTCTTTTTAAAGCTCAGGCTGCTAGGAGAATTCTTCCCGTGGGTATCCTAAGAACAAAAAGTCATATCGTGTTCTAGAATATTGTAGTAGCATCCAGAGGAATCAGCCCATTTAACTTGGGGGGGGGAATGGGGGCAGAACTTGAAGGGGCATACATCCTTTTATGTGCCTGGTATTGCTAAGGGACCAGGCTTAAAGCGAGACCAGCTGCATCAGAAACAAGATGTGAAGAGGGTTTGTGCTAAGGAAGAGGAGAAATAAATAGCCTGGGCCACATAACTGGCATAATGCTGTTCTAACAGTTCTTAGCTCCTTCATTCTTGTGCCTTTGTTATGATTCTGCAAGCATTTAATCTTCTCCACAAGCATTTTAGATTCAAGTATATTTCATGAAATAAATACAAATAAAAAATGCACCTCTGTTCTTTCCCCATAACAGATCCTTTTGAGATCAAACATTTTTGATGTTTTCTTATATGTCCTCCTTTGAGGAGGTCTTTTGGGGAGGC